CTGGTAAACAAATCAGTGTTGCTATCGATTCTTCCGGAGTCAATTCATTTTAGATGGCCACGGTGTACATGCCATGCATTTCAGGGCGGGCACCAAACATATCAGATCATGGTTTCTACAAACGACGATTTCTTGAGCTTAAACTGGAAGCACAGATTCACGCACAACAACAGGTCATTGTTCAGCCAATGGAAACGCTCGCTAAATCCAAGTCGACCTGTAGGAATGGGCATTGCATATTCCACTGAAAGTATTTAAACGCGTTTCGGCAAACGGGTTGATGCGTTTGACGGACTTGACGTGTGAGCAGGTGAGGCAATCATTTGTGCCTTAGAATGTCTGGAATATTTTCTGATGCACAGTGATGGTTAATTTATTGATTTTAGCTCAATGCAGAACACCATGGCTTACAAAACATGCGCTTTTAGTCCGAAAGTTATTGCTTTTACGGCTTGTATCGCTAATAGATTTGAAAGGCACCACAGAAGACTGCAATGAGAGTAGATATTGAAATGGTCACGTTTAAAATGTGATTCGCGATATTTTATTCGGTTTGGCTAAAATACGATCTGTTGTGCATGTTTTCAACGTGCATTCTCTGATATACATGTGGTGGTGGTGGTGTTGGTGGTGGCGGGTGTATCTACTATCTACTGTACGCGTGACATGCAAGTGACAGCCTGATCCAACCGGATCTCGATGGAATGACCTTGTGTGACAAAGTAAGTTTGAAGCAGACAACGTCACCTGGTCCAGGCTATGTGATATCTTGCACTAGTTGAAACACTAGTCGCGCGGTTATGCTGGAACGTGTGATCTGGCATTTTCGCAGTCTCGTGTTGAAGCATGTAGCCATGAGGCATTTGCAACTGACCCCATGCTGCAGCGCTTCTGCTGCCACACCCTTCCTCCTTGCCCCCAGCATCACCCCACCATCACCACTGACTCATTGGATGGCTCCACGACACGGCTCAATGCACAATGCAGTGAGTTGTGTTAGCAGACAGACATCGCCAAGCCTTCCAAGTTGCTTTGTGCCGCGATGCTCGTTTAGTTTGACCAGACGTAGAATCGTGTGTGAGTTGCGTAAGATGGAAGGTGAAAAGGAAAGTAGGGCTTCTCTAAAAGCAGTATTTCTCTTCAATTTACAGGATGCGACGACTTCTGTTTATTCTGTTGCTCGTTGGCACATCAAGCTGCTATCCATGGAATAAAAATAATGTACCCAATTGGGAGGATTCTTATTTAAATCAAAAAAAAACCTACTTCCCTGAGTGGGATTCAAGAGATTGGCCATTCCCTTCTGTGAGGAAAACTACACCAAAAACAACAACAACAACAACGACGACAACAACGACAACAACAACGACGACAACAACGACGACAACAACACCAACTCCCGTTACAACAGAAACTACCATTGCGTACGAGGACGTGAAATCGACTTCTGCAGAAAGTGTTTCAAGTGAGGACGCACCTTCACCAAAGCAGCATTCTGCCTCAGGTGTTATTGTCGATGCCTCAGGCAAGAGAGTCTATTACGGCAAAAGTGTTGCTGATGACGCAGTCACGACTGGCGAGACTAGTGCTCAAGAGCAACTCACGGAAGGTTTAAAGACCACTTCCATTGGAACGTCCACGGTTGAAGTTAGCAAGCCGGCTATTGCTGATGAAGCTGGTGCAACTGAACCTCATGATGCCACGCAGACTGCTGTAGTGACTGAGCAGGCTGCTGCATCAGATGAGGATGATATTGATGAAGAGCACGAGTCGAGCCACACTTCCACCAACACGACCATACCAGAGGACTTCGAGGAGGCGTATCATACTGAAGCCGAGGGTGTGACTGCTGACGAAGCTGTTTCGAAAGCGTCTGATATCGAGGCATTAGTTACTTCTAGTGATTCTGTACTACCAGTCGGTGTTGCAGTTGATGGCAGCACTGAGGTCCAGGCCAGTTCCGAAGCAGCGGCGATTACGGACGACGTTGAAACAAATGCAGCGCCAGGCCGTGTGGAATCAGCCACCAGCGCAACCTCGACGGATGACGCTGAATCAGGGTTGTCAGCTTCATTGGATGACGTGACTACTAAAGGTGGTGAGGACAGTTCGATTGAAGTTCGAGACGACTTGACAGAACCCGCACAATCAAACGAGCCTCCAACCAATGGAAGTGAGCAATCCTCACTGCCCGGTGACTTGGATGCAGCCACTACTGAGAGCCTTGGTAAGTTCACCGCAAGTATGCACATAGAAATCGCACAATCAATTAGTGAGCAGTGGCACAGTGGCTAGTGATGAGATGTCGTGGTTGAGACTATCATAGTTGGCACGCGATGATTGATCTTGTGCTGCATTTTCCTCAGACTGCAAATTGAATTGTTTATTTGCAACACTGGTTGATAATGTGTGCAGTGTATCCCGTAGCACCGAATTGACTTGGGCTGCAATTCATGACAGAGTCGAATGTGCGTGATATCAAATTCGGGCTGACTAAACACGCCTCATCTGCTGGAATGTTGTTGACACCGATGACGCAAAACACCAGGGCCGACAACGTGCACTGACACGGCCTGTCTGGAAGGGGGAGTCTGAAAATGCAGATGGCGAGTCGCTCAACTAGGATAGTAAAGCGGTAGTGACGTGTGTGCTTGTATGGCATAACTAGTGCGTAGAACGAGCATATGAAGTGTATTCGCGAAAACCGATTGAACCGTATTCGCTCATGCCTTGAAGTGCGTTGCTGAGCCAGAAAATAGCCCAGCAGTTAGCGCAGCCCCACAACACGACACCGCGACAACGGACTACCTGGCTGTACCAAGTACGTTAAGTAAAATTTGATTGGTTTTGAACGTTCAATTATTCACACCGAAATACGTGACAAATGTTGCAAAGGAATTTCCTCAAGTGGTATGGAAGTGCTCCGCGCTAGGCGGATGATTATTATCGTTCTGTGGTTGGTGAACACTGGTAGAACGTGTACGCCCACTCGCAGTCACGATTGTGAAAGACGAATATTAAGCTGCTTGTAGTCGAACTTGCGGAGACTGGAGTGCCAGACAAAGGCATGCACAGGGCAAGATGTTTATGTGCAAATCGTGGACAGAGGGTACCTGGACGAAGTCGTGTGATGTCGAACTGGTGATGACTGTGTCCTTTAAACGTGTTTATCTTACTCATAGTGATGCATTCTGTATCGGCAGTGTAGTTAAGTGCGAATCAACGTGCGTTCGTGCTAGCAGTAGCCGTACGTGTTGAGAATGTGTGCTTAGGATTCGACGAAACCTCGTTGACAGCTGTGCTGCGGGTTAGTTTCGAAGATGTGGAGTTTAGAGTGCGTCTGCATGTGATTTGGTTGAAATGGCCTATTTTAAGATTCGTCACTCAGCCGGAGTTGCCGTGTTTTGGTAAGAGAGCTTGACTTCCGTCAAAACTCCAATGGTAGTTGGTGTCATTAGAAATTGCTGCCAACCTCTCAAGGCTGTGAGCTCACTGATTTGACGCAAATCAATTATTATATTTCTGTACATCTCCACAAAATCCATTAAACCTACATCTGGAGTCTGTGTGGGAGGCTCGTGCTTATCGGAACTATTTGACATTGACGCCTGTAGGTGGCTTCGTCTTGTCCACATCGAATGCTGCAAGCAACTACGGCAGTTTGTACTCATGCGGTAGCATTTTGACGCGTGCTTGAGGATATGTGCGCTGTTCTTAGGCGAAGCATGCTTTCTGTTTTAGCAACGAGCGGACTTGTTCCACTGTCGCCGTCAATCGCTCTGGCCTCTGCTCTGCTCTGCCAATTAATTCTAATGCAGTAAAACTAGTGTAAGTTTGTTGTCATTTATAAGTAGCATGTCATCTTAAGTAAAACTCCAAGGTGTTTGCTAAAATGCGGTTGCTATGGTGACAGGCAGAATCGCCGTCCGAGTAAATGGTCCTATTTTGATTATGGCTAACCGCATCGCAACACCAAAGACAAACATTTCATGGGACAGAATTCAGCGTAACTTAATATTGTCTTTAAAATCACAATTGGATTACAACGGTAAGAGCAAACATTGTGCGAGTAGTGGCGCTATGGACAATGAGTGTAGATTTCTTATAAGCATAGTTTTAAGCTGTTCGGGTGTGAATAGAACATGACTGGCTGCTGTTAACCAACTGGATGTAGGCATAATGGAGTGTCATTGATTGGATGATCTGGCTGGGTAAGTTGTACAGCTGGCACTGTTTCAATTGTAGATAACTTCAAGGCCTCAATCTCGAGTTGTTTCTCTTCTCCTTTCCAATGTTCTTTTTTGCGCCAGTGCGGTAATTGCTGTCTTGGCTTTGTTGTAGGTCTGCGCTCTCTGCTGCTCTTGTCGTCTCGAATTACGTAACCCCTTTCTCGAAGTAGCTCAAGACTTTAATTTGCTCAGTGGTAGTTGTGCTAGTCCATATTCTGAATAAACTTGCTCTATCTGTGTAAAAATCGCGTGATGCTGGATGGTTACTGTGGGGAATTTCGGCTCCGTCACGACTACCACAACCACAACCACTACCACCACCATCACACACACCTAAGCCTCCACGAGAAGTATTCACGAATGGCACGTTGGCCACAACGAATTCCTTCAAACAAAGGATGCAGTGGCGAGTGCCCATTTTGTAGACCAAAATCTACGTGATTTGCAAAGTACCCTTAATCCCATGCATAACTTGGATCATTGCGTCTTCCTTAAGTATAACCACACCACATTCTGGTTGTGCTAACACATCACTATTACATGTAAAACCTCAGCTTTTTTGTCATTACGCTCCACATAAGCACGAGACTTGCCATCACCTCAACACCTTACGGTGTATCCACTTCACCAAAGTAAATGCAGTGTTTAATGTGTCGAATCTACCCGGAGCTGATAGCACGATTCTCTTTTGTGCATGAAAGAGACTGTAACCAGGCCAGCGTGCTGTTCAAATTGCGTTCATATAAATTTGATGCATTTCACAGCCAATCAAGTCAATTTCTGCCAACACATCTGGCTCCATATTAAACTTTCTCTCAGTCTCTTTGCACAAAAGTACAGCTTGCGCGTGTTTGACGAGTAGCCAGACTAGGATGTGGCGTTGAGGGTCAAAACACCAACACAACCGATATCAGTGGCATAAACAGTTGCGTGTGCAGGCTACTCTGCTGATCGTCTGTGAAGACGCAGCCAGCACAACCGTGGGGTTACGACCCGGCCGGATTTATACGCATGTGATGGCTCAACTGAATGCATGGATCACGTGCAACACACAGGCTGGCCGTTCGCAGCCAAAGCCTCTTATCTGCATGCGTTACCAATAAGTCGCAAATCAACGAAGGCAAGGAAATCCGGCAAAGCATTCCACAGCGTGGTGGCAGTCCATGCATTGATACTCGCATTCTTGAGCTTCAATGCATTTCTGTTACAAAGCAAACAAAAATTATAGAGTCGTTTGTAACGGCTGCCTCGAATGCACAAACCATTCTCTTTTCAATACCATCGTTCCACTACTTGTCAAATATCCACTAATTTTGCACACAGTCCACACGCATGTTTTCTCAGCACACACACTCACGGATGAGTCTCAGTAATGTAAATAACGGGAAAACAAGTCATGTTGTGATCCGTTTTAAGGACTTCAGTTAATGTTCTACGGTTCTTTGAGAAATAGTTTAAGCTTTAAGGAAATTAGGCATCAACAACTTTAGTTCGAATCCAGTCTTTACCGAAACAGCGATGCTAAAGCCCTAGAAGAGTTAAAGGCAGCCTGTGGATGAAGCGGTTTGCTATGCCGTGCCTCTGTGCTTATTTAGGTAGTAAAAACGAAGAGGCACTTGGTTTTACCCTGTGTTTGGACACTGATAGGTGTGTAGCACCTTACCTTCCAACTCAACCCGCTTGCAACTTAAGAACAGGCCTAATCTGCCTTCATGTTAGCAACCACAAGCTCATATCTGACCACTGTTTCAAAGCAACTGAATTTGACGAGGATAATGTAAATAATTGAAGCTTGAATTGCGTGTGCAACATCGATTTGCCGGACTGTGGAAAGCCGCAGTTCAGAGCAATTCAAAAACAGCATAAGTCGGTATGTAGGTAGAAACCTACTACTGTCAGCATTGCGCGGATGCAGCAAGGCTGTGGTGCGTGATAGACCAAAAATGCCACAAACTACAGCAGACGACAAACACTTGTTGTGGGGCACCAGAAGCATTCGCCTCGTCCTCGCTCTCTGCAGCCCCATCTCCCTTTAACCAATCCATGTTAACCCACAGCAGACGACAAACACTTGCCGCGCGTATTCTTCAAATTTATTATTGGATGAAATAAATCCCATCGTAGTGATTTATTCTGCTTATGCAATGTCTACCTAAATGCTTGTAGGTACACACTTAGTTTCATCTGAACCTGCAATGTGCTTGAATGATCTTTTGTTGAGTTTGAACGCAGAAATTTGATGGCAACTTTATTTGAGGGCTTTTAACACATTGCATGGCTTCATTTTATTGCAGAAAAGATCATTTCGGTCAAATTATCGAAAAGGACCAGTAGTTACTGTTTAAGGAAGATGCCTAAACTGATAATAAACCTGGTAAACTATTTTATCTATAAGTTGCACGATAACTTTTTCTTGGATTTGAGATGTCCGAACACTAATAAACGTTTTTTAACTATACGACGAAAGGTCATTGCTGGATGCTTTCATTAATCGGCACATTTGATTTTTGTCCTTAAGTTCACTAAGGTAAAATGAAACAAACTTAGGACGTCAGCTTGTATTGTGCTTGAGCAGAACTGCCGGCTGTTGAAATTACGTCAGTTTAGGATTTTTCGGTTTGGATGTTGAATAACTGTTGCGTCGAGTCTCGATTCGATTTGAACACGAACAACGGCATTGAAGGTCGCAATACAATCCCTTATCTCTTTAGTAATTTCAACTAATTTTGGTTAAAAAGTACTTTAAAGACAAAAGTTAGCGTCAAAATAGTTACTCCTCCTACCTAAACTAATTTACAAACAGAACAGCAGCATTAGATAGTGATCTCATTAAAAAAATGTATTATATGTCTAATTTTGTGCACTTTGCATGCAGGCGTAAGCCCTGATTGGTTTGCGGTGTCAGCCAATCAGAACGCGGCGTCCCGAGGTTAACCCTAGACGCCTAGCACACGGATGAACAAACTGCTTTCCTTGCATCGAGCAGTGCATCCTAGCTCCATCGGTTGAACATCTAGCTACTTTTGGATTTTTTGCCTGATCTCCGCTATTTATTCTTCCTCTCTTGTGATTGGGTAGGCAGTCTATAACTAGGCCAATTTTATCGTTACAAACATAGAGGGGAAGTTTTTATCTAAAATTCCAAAAAGTTTAGCTTTCTTGCAATCAAAATCCTTTTCAAAAGTTTTCTGAATCGTGATTGGCTGGATTAGGATTCAGGTTTATATTTTTGCTTGTTTTCTAGTGTGACATTGGTACTTTGGCCACTTGCATTTCCAAATTGATCCATGATGTTTCCGAATTTGGAATTTCGTGCATAAAATAAAAAAACACTAAAAATTGATGATCAGAATCAAGTTACGGGGTGCATTGCACACCAGGTTTGATGGGAATTATTGCTTTTTAGCCTAATAACACAGGTATCTAGCATTGCAACACTTTAGATGGCAATAAATAACCCTGCCTAGCAACCACGCCTTGATTCGTCTCCTTTAAGACCGGCTACTGAAGCACAGGCACCGTCTGCGACTACAATGCGTCATTAGTAAACGCATACCTAGATCCAATTATTGGTAGCTGTGATTCTAACCTCTGTCGCAGAGGTTTCTAGAAGCATTCGACAAAGCAACCTGAAGAGAAGTTAAGCACGAATCCCTCTCGTTATGACCCAGAAACGTGTGGCTTGGTGTTTTAAAAGGGACCTTTGTTTAGATCGGGTTGTTACCATAGATACCCTTTGCAGAACTACAGATAAAACTATCAAAAGCTAACCTTTCACGCTTTACCTCTGATCTTTCGAACAAAAAGTTTGACTTTTAGGGCGCTTTGTTTGACTTAAAGCAGTTAAAGCAGCGCTTTGTGAAATGGGAATCGTTGGACAAATTCAACTCTCTTCTGGGCTTAGCAGCATCTATTAGCTAGTCCCACTCACTTCAACACAACACCCATTGAATCCACGACACCAGCACCTCCAAGTAAGGCTCCAGATACCAACATAGATTCGTCAACTAGAACAGCTCCGGCGCCTTGATGATGTGCGTTGTTAAGATGGAGACAAAGTCGAGTCAAGTGATTGGCGTTTTAGTAATAAACAAACAACAAGCTTTGGTGGTCAGATATCACGATAACACAGTAATTAATGCCCCTGGTATCAGCACTTCGTACAAACAGACCGCAGATAGACGCTCACTAACCGCCTGGGTGTCATGTTTGTCGACAGATTTAAAAGCAGCAAAAAATCAATAATTCAAGATGAACTTTCAATTTGACCACTTAGTGGTGTACCAGTTGTAACACAAGTTCATTATCCTACTCTGTAGAAAGTGTTTACTAGATTCGGTAATTATTTTAACCTTCTTAATTCTGATTGCTTCTTGTGGATTCCGAATCAAGGGCATCAACAGCCACCACCACCACCACTACCAATTTAATGTCAGTAAAATGGTTAAGAAGACGCTTAGTTGAGGGTGTGTCAAGTCGCCTAAGGGCAATAGCGTCGCCATGAAACTCACTCTTTTCTCGAATTGAAAGCCAATGATTTCGACCACACCGTACCTACGAACAGAGAACTGAAAATGTTGAAATTCGTTTGAGGGGTACATAGATGCGTATTTGAATATTTTGTGGTTAAAAGAGGTTGCTTTTTGACAGCAATTTGCATCACTAGTTTATTTTTATTCTGGTGATTAGTGACCTTGGATCATAACTTCTGTTCTATCTTCTCCACATCAACAACCAATCAAAGTTTGAGGCTTGTAATAGCTGATACGTAGAATATAGACTGCGGTTTCAGAATAAAATGATGCGCACGCACATTTTACGCATTCGTCATCCAAGATCACGTAAAATGTAATGCTTTTTCGGCATATAGGTAAGCACAAAAATGCTGTTCTATCTTTGTAATTTCGTCTGGTTTAAATCGGATGCGAATTAACCATGCCAGCGCACATGTACAGAATTCACTGCGACCGGAGTTCTCTTTTAATTTTCCACGTCGAAGGGCCACCCTGTTATGATCACTTAACTAAAAGACGCGCACTTTCTGAAATGACGGCGAAGGTGTAAACTTTTCAAAAAAAAAGCCCGTAAACCACGTGCGGTTTGGTGAAATTCTTGGCCGGGTATTTAGAGTATGCGACTAATTGGCGAAAAATAAGCACGTGACACTTCC